CCCCCGCACTTCTTCCCTCAGGGCCCCTCTTACCCCCTTCCCACTTCTTCCCTCAGGGCCCCTTTAGCTTTAAGCTTCGTTTTGTCAGTGTAGACGTTTTAAGAAGTCTTACTGAAAGCTTTTCTTTGCCTGTGTTGTGACCACATCTCATACATACTCAGTAGAAGTAGGGCACTTACAGTGCTTAGAAGAAACTTTTGGGAAGCAAATGTATTGTTCTTGTCCGAAAAATGGTGTGCTTACCCCAGTCCGAGATATGAGGATATTTAACTCAGGATATTAAAACTCATGCAATGCCAAGAAATCACAGGTAGCTTTTGAGCGGCCAGTGATCCCCTAAAGCTGTGATGTGCTGTCTCCAGCAGTGAATTCTGTCACTGAAGTGCAATTGCAGGCTAATTGCTTAGTCCAGTGCGAATAGAATTGTTTGGGCCGCAGTCTTCATATTGTGGAATTCCAGGTCTCAAATAATGAGATGTTTGGTCAACAACCAAGCAAAGGAGTCAGCGATCAAGGAAGAAAATGCCTTTGCACTGTCATGAGTTGCCCGTGTTGCTCTTTGGAAGAGACGGAGCTTACCGCTACATGTAACATGTTTGTCTGGAAAACAGGGTTAGGGACTGAATATCTCTATCATTGTTTCATCTTCTTCGCTTAATAAGTCATAACTGTATTCCTGATAGGTTGTTGGCTGGTACCTTTCAGTGCAGTCAGTCAACCAGAGACAATTCAAAGTGACTTGAAAAATGAAAAACACTCAGTGTTGGGTTTTGGTCACAGATTATCCTGGAATGCAGAGTTTTAGTGTTAGGTGTATCTTGCTTGGTGGTAAAACATGATACACTCAGGGGCACCAGAATTTGTAAGAACTGGAATTTTGCACTTACGATATCGGTTAATTCTTACTTTGTTTCTTTCTCCTAACAGATGAAACAGAATTCAGAAATTTTATTGTCTGGCTCGAAGACCAGAAAATCAGACATTACAAGATTGAAGACCGAGGGAATTTAAGAAACATACACAGCGATGAGTGGCCCAAGTCATTTGAAAAGGTATTTTGTTGTTCCAAACACAACTTGAAATTCTGAAGATGTCTTCTGTAAATGCTGATTAACAGCTGCTCTAGTTGTTGCATGTAAATGACTCCGAATGTTTATCCTGTCTCTGAACTTTAACATTTTGAGGAATTTAAATGTATTGTTGAAGCCAAACTGTAGGAGTTACTGAAGTCGTGGAACTTTTTGTATGCAGTTTTCACTCAGCTGTGTTTTTGCAGTAGGTAGTATCCATCCTAATTTGTTTCTTGCCTGATTTGGTTTAGCTCTTGAAATAGAAAGAAAATTGACAACAAATAAACAGCTTTTCCTGTATTAATGATTCTTACGTACCAAATGGAAAATGGATTAGGTGAATGCACTTGCAGGCTTTGCAAGCGTGTGGAAGAAAGCTACTGCAGCTCTGCTCTGCACCTCTTGTTATTTCAGACAGATGGTTTTCCACTGCTAGCACACAGCACGGCAAGCAGCCATCGTTCTGAGAGTGATCTCTGTGCTCTGAGCATTTTGAGTCACCACAGAGCTGTTGAGCTTTCCCTCTTGATTCTTGTTTCCAAGCAGCCCTGCGAGGAGCTGAAAGCGCTTTCTGTAACGCCCAGTGCCCTAAATAGTAGACTCAATGTAGTGGTGGATTGGAGCACTCTAAAACACCTCAGATGGATCAGAGGCTACAGCAGGGCATTTCAGAATTATGCTGCTTGTTAATAACCATCTTCTGACAAACTGTAAGGGCTGTGGGAAAGTGACTGTTTCCAAAATTCTGTGCTTCTAGCTAATTCGTGCGGGTCAATAACATCTGTTTGTTCTCTCCTCTTCCTACTCCGCAGTATATGAAAGACGTAAACTGTCCTTTCAAAATACAAGAAAGACAAGAAACAGTGGACTGGCTTCTTGGCTTAGCAGTCAGGCTCGAATATGGAGATAATGGTATGAGTGAGTTTAATATTTCAAAATAGTAGGGAAATGTGTTTTTCTATTTAAGTATTCATCAAATTAACAGATGGTCAAAAGTATGTATTGTTTTCTTTAAAAAACAAACAACCCATAACACACCCCCCACCCCAACATCATTTAATCTGTTTGGTTTTCCACTGTATTCAGATGTGAGCGATTTCTCTTCTGCTCCCATGGGACAGTGCAGTAGCATACTTGCATTTATTACTTTATTTCTGGATATAGCAAAAATTGTTGTATATATTTATACTCTTTTCCCTGTAGGATTGCCTTTGTGAGAGCTTACTCTAAAGTGTATTAAATGCATTTTCTTTAGTACTACATCTATTCAAAGAAGTTATTCTTAAAACCTTGTTTTACAGGGAGTAGATCAGGAACCCTTGGGAACTAGGGCAAGGTTATGAAAAAGTTGAGTTAAATCTCACCAGTTGGCAGCAGATTTATTTCCTTATAGTGAGAGTGCAGATACAGATGTAGTTACTGGTGGCAAACATAATAGTAGCCAAAATACTGGTTTTCATTACCTTTAATTCCTGCAGGGAACTGATGGATTTTAAAAGTAGTAGAGCTGTAAGGTGCAGCTTCCTCAGCCTGCTGGGATGGAGACTGTAGGAAGATCCTTAATCGAGAGTGTAGTGCCCTACATAAGTGTGGAACGTGCTCTGGTGCTGCTCTGGGCTAACACAGAAGCTCTCTGCAGATGGGAGCTGGTAGGGTAGCTCACTGGGAGCTTTTGGGGACATTAGCAGAGAGCTCTAAAATGTCAATGTATAAACCCATAAGACTCTTGGGCAACTACCACACCCGAAAAATACAGCTATTGCAAACTGCAGCTTGGTGCTAAACTCTTAACTGGTTATTTTTATCAATAGCTCTAATGGTCTCCATGTTTGCTTCTTAATTCAACAGCTGTTAAGTATAAGGATTCTACCCCGGATGGTGCTAAAAATGTTGACAATACAGCAAAAAATGCAGAACCACTGATTAACCTGGACGGTAAGTGCGCAGCAAGCAACTGTATGTGGATGCATCGTACGTGAACACGTTCCATGGCCTGCATGGTGTTCTTTGGATTTGAAGTTGTTATAATATTGTGATACATGTAACTTTTAAAAACCCTGTTTAAATCCTTAAAAATGCAGGGTTATATGTTCTTTTACTGCTGGCTCAAAAGGAAGGAGGAGCTGCTCTGTGTGAATCCCAGGTAGCTGGATGTGTGCTGATACAGAGCTTTTCCTGCTGGGGAAGGGCAGGGGGCAGAATCCTTCACAGCAGAAGGAGGCACCCAGAGACTTGATCAGATAAGAATAAATTGAGAAGGCTCTTATCAGGGGATGAGGAAGTGGCTAAAGGCTATTTACCTTAACAGCTTTGCAGAGAGCTCTGGAAAACATGAGTACTTACTGTGGGTTAGGATGAAATGGCAGGATACATTCGAGTCTATAGCCAAAAGTTATCTTTAAAAAAAAAAAAAGCTAAAGAAACACAATGGCAGACTGTTTACTTCAATACTGTCATGTATTGTGTGTTGGATCAGTCTTCCCCAGCTGTACCTCTCTGATAATAATTGTAATTTTTTTTGATTGCTAGGCGCATTCACAATGAATAGAAGTGATGGAAAGTAGCTACTAAAATTAGCCCTAAATCCCCCAAATCTTCTCTCATTGCTCCTTCTTCAAAAAGACAGCTAGGAATTGGTCCTGCCCTCACCCAGCAGGCACAGTTCTGCTCTGCAGTGATAAAGATTTATAAAAGAGAATACCTTCCTGTAATTTGCTTCATTTTTAGACTTAACACAGGTTTCCTGTGCAGTAGGCCATGTCCAATGCATTTGGCGTAGAAAATGTTGCTGTTTGTGCTTGGATGATGTTCTGCAACCTGGTTACGAAGCCCAGTGCACACTCTGATTGCTTTGCACATATTTTTAATGATGATGATTTATTTTTACAGTGAATAATCCTGATTTCAAGGCTGGAGTGATGGCTTTAGCTAATCTGCTTCAAATCCAGCGACATGATGACTACTTGGTGATGCTTAAGGTGAGTTTCAGAGTTTTCAGACCTCCTTTCTTCCTCCTTTTCCCCAGTGGCTGGTATGAGTGTAAAGCAGTATTATCATGTTAGGCTGGTTCTATTAGGAATTAACAGCCTGTAGTTATCCCATCGACTGCTTTCTCATTCTCTCCAGTATGGTACCCTCCTTTGCCTTCCCAAAATAGTCTTTGAACCCTTCACTAATCTTTAAAAAGTGGTGTAATGACTCAAAGAGAAAGCAGGATGTGTTTTCTGCAGAAGTGTCTTTACATTTCTGTCACTGTTTCTACATTTCTAGTCTTTTTTTCAGACAGAAATGGTTGGACAGAACCCTCAGCCTGAATTTTCTTCCTTTTAATTACAGTGAGAATAGATTCCTGCAATGGCAATCGATGTAATGTGAACAACACTAATGCTGGTTTTTACAGCTGATGATATTATTATGTGTCAGCAAAACTCTTTAATTCTGCACCACATTAGGCAGGTTTGCAGTGTACACACAGAGAATTTGTGATCATGGTTCAGGCTCAGACTCTGGAGTGAATGCTTAGGGAAGACCAAAGGGTGCAAGCACACCACAGACATCTGGCCAAAGCAAGCAGAGATATTTGGAGTCCCATTTTATTAAATTTGGTGAGTTGATCAGAAAGCATCTGTATAACACAGTTGAATATCTTTTTTCTAATGGAAAAGGTGCTCTAAATTATTTTACACTGGGTCTGGTTTCACTGCCGGAATGTAAACACATCAAATTGCTCTTGTGTCCAGGCTGCTCTCTTCAGTTAAAAAGATTTCTGCATTCCAGTGGCAACTTAATCTCCTCTCAACTTTAATCATGACCAAAACTGGGATAAATCTTTAGGGGAGAAGCGTGAAGCAGTACGCTGCTTCTGTCACATTTGGCTACTCATCAGGAAAAGTCTGAGGAATGTATTTGACAGACCCAGTTCTTTCTGGTGGAAAGAAATCTGCCTGCATGGTATTCCTTCAGTTATTTTTAGAGGCATTTACAGCTGTAGGTATCAGGAACTGATAGCTCTGATACAATTTCACGCAATGTACCGGAGCCAGCAAAAACAGATGAGCAGCAGGATCCTTAAAATCACGGCTGTTCTTGTTCCTGTCTCTAAAAATAAAAAGACTGAGAACAGGAAGGAATTAAAACCTGGGTAGGTAGCCTTGCTCCAAGTTTCTCTGTATGTGGAAATGGTTCAGCATCTACTAAATGATGCTGGCAGCAGGATTTCCTTCTTGAATAAGCTGTGTTGCTGTTGCATTAAACACATACGATCTCAGGGAAAATAAAAAAGGTAGTGCTGCTCTGGGATCGTGACCAGCCCATTCTGGGAATCACAAGCTTTCTTGACTGTTCTTAATACTTGCAGTTTCTGGCCCAGTAGTGCCTGAAATAAAGTGCAATGTCTTTGTCTCTTGGTTAAGCTGCCTTCCCACAGCCCAAGGGAGACACCTGTGTAAGACACTAATTGCAAAGAATAGTGCTATTTGGAAAAGTTTAAGATCTGAAAGAGTTTTCCAAAAAGTCTTCCACAAAACCAGGGGGTTTGAGGTTATGCCAGCTTATAATGTTGGCTTGGAATTGCTGAGAAATGCATCAAGATATTTAAAGGTGGGAGTCATTAATTTATGTTTTTCCTAGGCAATTCGCATTTTGGTTCAAGAGCGCTTGACGCAGGATGCCATAGCGAAGGCCAGTCAGTCCAAGGAGGTTTGTATATACACACCATGAGCCTGCTGTTAAGTATTCCTTAGCGAGTAAAGAAACGTGGGTGTAAATGTCTGCCATCTCAATCAAAACCAGTTCTGTTTAAATACCTCACTTAGGAGGGTGCTGGAAGCTTGCTTTATTTTCACCATCCTGATTCTAAAAGACTCAGACGATTATGGAGAGTATACAAAGCTCTTTTTTGTTTTGGTTGAATGCAAATATATGTACCTATATGATCTGTCCTGTCCTCATATTTGCTAGAGGATCATCCTTGCTGTTCAGTGCAGCAGGCCTGTGGTAGGAGAAGAAATGTATGACCTGGCTTTTCCTTGGAATCGGCAGCGTTGGCTGCATAAACAGGTTGAAATGTCCCTTGTATGGAGTGTTTTGCTTCGTACATACAGCTCGTGTGTTTAAGGAATGGGATGTTGGACATCCAACTCCTCCCTTCCCCAGAAAGAGAAATGGTGATGGAAGCTTCTGCACTTAAACCTCAGATTTTGCAGAATTATTTTCTAAAACCACCATTTGTAAGATGTGCCAGGGTATGACCATGACTTTTTGGATTGTCATTTCTTGAACATCCCAGTTCCCAGCTCTTCTCTCCAGCTGCTGGCTTTAGGCCTTGGGCGCAGCCAGGGAAGGCCTCTCTTGCCCCACAGGTGTATGTTTTGGGTGTCCCTGCTGAAGGATCTGTGTCTGGTTGAAGAGCGCAAGTCCCTTCATCTTTTCTGGCAGCTGCTCAGCACAGTTCCTGCTTTATTTATTATTATGAGGCTGCTTATGGTGTTTACTGAGTGGTGATTGCAGGTGCTCTGAGCTGCAATGCAGTAATTGAGAGTACGTCAGAGTAAATCAAAGCTTTGGTCTTGTATATCCATAAAACCATTAAACGAGCAGGAAAATCTGGAAGCAGCTGTGACTGATGTAGTCATTGTATATTCTGTAACTAATGCTAAGAAAAAATTCCTTTTAATTGTTGTTTACATAGCTGGACAGCTGACACACAGATCAAAGTGGGATTTTCTGTGAGTTTGGAAGAACCCAGCTTCTTTGAGGAATGGTGAATTTTTCTGTGGCAAAGGATTGTTCAGATTCAGTAGGTCCTCACAGCATCATCAGGTCTCAGGTTGAACTGTCACTGCATGTGATGTCTGTCACTGGGAGTGTATCCTCATCATCAGGAATGCTACATTTCAAGTGACGTGGAGAAAAGGCAGGGTGTTGGAGGCAGGAAAACAGCTTTATCTGTGCCAGCAGCAATCATCAACTTGGTAATATACCAGCTGAAAGAAGAAAATCAGAAAAGCAGAGGGGATAACTGGGTGCAGGATAGAAGGAGAAGAAAAATAAACCTCTGCTGATTTTTGGCTGGCTTGTTTCTGGTCAAAATACTAGCCAGTGACTCTGTGTATATTGAGCCTTGTCCCTGGAAACAGGTTATAAATGTCTGAGTGCTGCATGGCAGACGACTTAATATACCAAATGTCAGGAGTTGCATTCTTGGCATTATCAAGACAGAGTGAGGAAGAGATAAAGTAGCTCCAGAAATGTTCTCTGACTGAAGGATCTGTGCTGAGGAAGCTTACACTGCTGTGCTTGTGCTTTAAATGTACCAAATAAAATGAGATTGATCTTATTGGGTTGTCACGGTGCAGTTTTCAAAGTAAGGCATGGCACTTATTTTTTTTTCTTTAGATTATGTTTTGAATGGTGAGCAATTCAATGTACTCAGTGTCTAGACAGGAGTCAGATTTATACTGACAGACTTGCAGCCTCTCCTGCTGGGCTTTCCTTGCCTGATGAGTATCCCAGGTAGGATCAAGTACAACAATTGCCCTTCAGGATCACTTTAAGGATGCCCCGATAAACATACCTGGGGTATACTTAAAAGCACAACATTTTGGGGGTACTTTTCCCTCCCTTCTATGAAATCTGGAAGTGTTTTTTTCCTCCCACTTAAGGTTAATCTGGTGTTACTGTCGACACTTCCCGTTACAGGGGAGGTGGCTGCGGTGGGCAGGCCCATTGCAAGTGTTTTGTGCAGCAGTTTTAAATTGAATTTGGGGGAGGATGAGGCTAAGAAATGAAGTATTCTGTGTGTGCATGGATTTAAAGGTGCTCTTCACTTCTCTCCCTGTTTGAAGATCAGGAGTTTTTCACATGTATGTAAAAGCCTTTTAAAGAAATCCTCGCTGTTTAGAAGGTTTACAGCCCCGTCATTTTAGAAACTAATAGCGTTGAGCTCGAATGTTTTAGTCGTGCAAGGCGAATGTTGAAAAAAGTTCGAGGTAGTAAAAGCAATTTTGAAGATTTGCATTGTTTAAATCTAATTTTATGTGCATGGTGAGTGACTGTTTAGCATGGCTGCTCCTCCACAGCTGAAGAGGGTAAAGGAAAGAGCGTGATGATTAGAACAGAGCAGTAATAAAACTTCTTTGTCCTGTCTTAATAGAGCAAGTGTTTAGAAAAGTGAATGTTTAGCTTTATCCCTAAGCTTAACACTTGAGAAAATACTTGTGGGGATGTTGATGGAGGTTACAAGTTTGGCACTTGAGAAACTCTCTTGATTGCAGGGAGCTTTTACAGTTTTCTTTCAAATCAGCCCATGCTTTGCCTTTAAACAGCTGCCAGATTTCAGTAGTTTCTAAGAAAGCCGCGTTTGTGCGTGCTTTTTGTTTGCCTGGGTAGCGATGTTGCTGGGTCGAGTCCTCTCTCGCAGAGCTGTTGTTGGCCTTTTAAGGATTGAATGTGGGCTCTGTGTATCCAATGGCTTGACGAGTAGGGGGATTATTAAGCACAGAGATTTTTCTGTAGTAATTCTCTGGGTTTGATGTTAATCAAGCATGGTGACTTCTTTTAAGTCTCTAAGCAAAACTCAAGTGTCCTCTCCTCCAGAATTACCTGGTGTGGTACTTGATTTTATTTTCCAGACATGCAAAATGACATTTCTAATTACATTCAATATGCTTTCTCTTTTTAAAGGGTTTGCCCGTAGCTTTAGAAAAGCACATTCTTGGTTTTGACACGGGAGGTAAGCAGTCCTCTTAATGTTACTTTCAAACGGTGATGTTTGCCTTTTGACGAAGTATGTTACTGTCAAATCCACAGATAATGTGTAGAGTAAAATAGCCTGGAGTGGAAAGAATTGCTCCCTCCCAGCTCGTTATGTACGAGCGCTCCTGAGCGTTTTGTTTTGGAACAGAAAAGCATAAATCTCCACTGTGGGATATGTTTCAGAGTAATGTTTTAAATAACGGCTTTTAATGGCAGCCACGTTTGCAAGCAGAAGGAATGCATCTCAGTGCTGTTGGCCTGTAAATCGTGCTGCTGCCAGCAGAGGACCCTTGTGCTGCTTCCCTGTGTTTTAGCTGCGTAATTTCCCTAAAATCTAACAGGAGCAGTGCAAGTTAGCATGACCCCATAGATTATTTTGTAAGGAATGGCCAAATGGCCTGGGACTCCGCTCGTCTGGCTTCACTTTTGCCCCATGTACACCTAAATTAATACTCGGAGCACTTCATGCCAACCCGACTTGGCTGTGGATCAGGGCAAGCACCGCAGGAAGCTGAGGGAGGTTTTTTGGAGCACCCTGGCCCTCTCCAGCAGCAGGGAAAGTTGTTTCCTCTTTCAAGTATGAAAACCACAAGCATGAATGAAGCGCAGTGTGTTAACTTAGTTTTTCTTAAGAGCTCCATATCAAATGAAAGTCCTTGATACGATTTCTCTTTCTTGCCCAGATGCTGTTATCAACGAAGCTGCCCAAATTCTCCGGCTGCTGCATATAGAGGAGCTCCGCGAGCTGCAAACAAAAATTAATGAAGCGATTGTAGCGG